ACACTCCTGCCGATCGCGCTGGCAGTGCCATCATTTTCTAATAGTACCCCAGTCATGCCAGGCAGATTCTTCCTGCTGCAATACCGCATTTTCCTGCTGCAATACCGCCCTGCCCGAGCGGTTGCACGCGATTGCAGTTGAAAACACTGCGCGTTTATTCGCAATCGCCTTTTTATTTTTAACAATTTTTAAAAAAAACTTAACTCTATTGCCATAACACAGGAAATAATAATCCCCTGTGTGATAGCATTTGGAGGTGACAGGTACTCTTTATTGACCCAGTCACCTCCAACACAGGAGTTCTAGCACAGCTCTGTGCTAGAACTCCTGTGACAGGAACGAGCAGCGGCTGCCGGGGACAGGGGCTGAGGGAGGTGACAGAGCCTATCACAGCTCCACCGTTTGGCTTTGTCACGCCTCCGTCACAGCTCCACGCCCTCCGCTCCATCCCCAGTTCTCAGCGCTCCATCCCCGCCCCCCGCTCTCGGCGCTCCATGCCCCCCGCTCGCAGCGCTGCTCATTTAAGAAATAAAAACCAGCTCTGCTACTTGTCCGTAGTAAGGCTAAAATAGTGAAAAAAACACTTGCCCAGCGCCCGAAACTACATGTCCTGGGCGATACGAATTCCACACCCCTGAATGTAACTATGTAAGAGGGATATGCCTAGCTCCGAGATAGGCAAACTGTGGCCCTCCAGCTGTGGTGAAACTACAAACCCCATCATGCATCTGTCTCTGGAAGCCATGCCTGTGGCTACATGAGCCTAATAGGATTTGCACTTGCACCACAGCTAGAGGGCCAGTGAATGCCTAGCCCTATGAAAATGTTCTTAAAAACGTGGTATTTATATGGATATTCAGATTGCTAGAGCAGGAGATCAAAATGCCGAGTGACTGCAATTAACATGCAGCTATATGCTGGTAGTGAGAACTGTTTGTCTTTTCAAAACAAGATATTTTTACACTAAGGTGTATATTGCCAATGTCATGGGTCCTCCTCCTCTGCAGTCACTGGTTGCTAGGACCACTCAGCAGTCCTAACTAGGGATGCACCGATACCGATACTAGTATCGATATCGGTGCCGATTCCGAGTATTTGGGCATGTACTCGTACTTCCGGTACCAGGAAGCCGGGCAGCGTGTCATTACACGCTGCCCGGTTTCGCGATTGACCGGAAGCTGGCCTCGTGAGGTAAGGTACCTTAGTATGTGTAGCCTGTCATCCCCCGGGGCCTCTCCAGCGAGAATGCGGCCTTCGTCTGGTACCCAGCCCGAGCCGTCAAATCAGGAAGCCGGGCGCCGTCTAATCACGCGACGCCCTGCTTTCTGATTGGCCGGGAAGCTGGCTTCATGCTCCCTCGTCATCTCATGACAAGAGAGCATGGAGCCGGCCTCCCGGCCAATCAGAAAGAGGGGCGTCGCGTCATTACACGGTGCCCGGCTTCCCGATTGGCCGGCCAGACGGCTCCGGTTTGGTACCGGAAGAAGGCCGCGTTCTCGCTGGAGAGGCCCCGGGGGATGACAGGCTGCACATACTAAGGTAAGAGGGGACTTTCTTGTTAATCAGGAAGCCGGGTGGCGAGTCGTTACACGCTGCCCGGCTAATCAGGAAGCCAGTTGGCGAGTCATTACACGCCACCTGGCTTCCTGAATGGGACTTCCATTACTCGGTAATTGGTATCGGCGAGTACCGAAAAAAATTATCGGTACTCGGTACCAAAATACCGGTATCGGTGCATCCCTAGTCCTAACAATCAGTGAAAGGTCTTCCCGCCCCCAACATTACAGATGTCCACCTGTGTCAGTCATCTCCTGCAACTCCAGGTATGGGACAAAAAGGCTTCATTCAGGGCACGTTCACACCTATGCTGTGCATTAAATTGCACAGCTTGTGCGATTAACACACAGTACCGCACAACGCACCTACTATGCCTTACGGTAAAGCAGATGCGTTGCGTGCACTACTTGTTTCAACTGTACCATAATGCACAGTTTTGCGATACCACGCTTTGCAGTGCAGTCAACCACATTGCGTCCAGGAGTTGCATTTCAAATGAATGGCAGCACACGTGCCACACTAACGTTGCACAGTACCGTGCATTAATCACATCAGGCTGTTGTGGAAGGCCAAACCAATAGGCCCTATTGGTTCAGTCCTCCACAATAGTCCCAGTTTCTCATGTGGCCCCTTAAGAAAAGTAATTGTCCACGCCTGAATTAGACAGACTTTCGTTTGCATATAATTAGGAAGTGACAGGGGTAGGCTTTTTTTGTCACAGTACTACTTCAGAGCAGCAGAATTTATAAATCAAGCTGCAATCTTATAATAAGTCTGTCAACTCTCGCTGTTCTAAAGTCTTGTAAACAAAGACAGTATACAAGACGATCAGCAGTAATTGCACTTGGCATTAACATCATTTATAAATACCCTCCTCAGAAGTGCCCACCGGTGTACTTTACTTCCAAGTTTGTGCCAATAGAGAGAAGAGGGAGCTGCAGAATGGTAGCTCTAGCACCTGCTTATCGATAGGAAACAGTGGAGATCAGACAAGGTTTTCCAAAACTACCTGAACAATTCCATTCACTGCAGGATGATCAGTCAGAAGTGTGTGAAGAAATCCGAAATGAGATTGTAGGCCAACTGGAAGATGCCCAGCTTATATCTATGGGGCTGATTTGCTAAATGCAAACATTTTATGAGTTTTGCCAAGTGTAAGCACTGATGGAGATTGCTTTAGTAAAAGCAAATAGGCTAATCACTATGCCAGGGAACATACCATCAGCTTAGCGAATGTGATAAAACACTGCTGACTTCCATCATCCAATCAAAAATACTGTTTTTATTTTCCTTGTACATGATTGGGTATTCTATGCAAAGTGATCGAGTTTTTGCCTTTACTAAATCAATCCCCATAAATGCTTACACTTGGCAAAAAAAATTCATAAAATGTATTCATTGTATAATACAAATATTGACAATTTTGGGGTTTCAGTGTCTCAACAGAAGTTTGTTTCCTGGGATATCTGAATGGGACTGTTAGCTGCCCAGCCACCAAGTCATTAAGTAAGGGGTTTTAGAGGGTGGCTTATGTACAAGCTCATGGTCACTGAATTAGCTAAAGCTTGCCATACCCTGGTTGAATTTCAGCCAAATCCTGGTGAGTTGGCGGAAATTTGAACAGTGTGTGGCCCCATTGGGAAACCCCTAACATTCAACAAATCGATTTTTTTTTTTAATCTACTGGATGTTGAATTAGCCAGTTCAAAAATCCCAACTGAACAGTGACTGCAGCCAAGTATTCTGACACTGTTGGCATGGTTAGGGGGATTGAGACTAAGATTGTATGGTCAATTTACCGTATTTTGCGCTCCATAAGGCTCACCGGTACATAAGACGCAGTTTGTCAGTTTCTGTGACAGAAGCTGCAGTGACAGCTGAGACAGGTGGCGCTGTCATTACAGCGCCACGGTCTCAGTGATCACAAAAAGCAGACGAAGAACGGCCGTTCTTCGTCTGCTCTAGGGGCTCTATGCTGAGCTCCTATCCCGTGGTCCCCCCGAAAACCACTTGTATTAAACGAGCAGCGGCTTCCACTGTACGTTTAGCTCGGCTTTAGCAGGGCTAAATGTACAAAAACAATAGGACACACACACATTTTCCCCCTGCCTTTTGGGGGGGGGGGAGTGCGTCTTATGGAGCGGAAAATACGGTACGTTTGCACTAAGCTACAAAGCTATTAACAGTGCCAGAGTGTAGGTGGCAGGTTGTTATTCTAATAGTACAGGCAGGAAAGGGTTTAAGCAAGATTAAAACATATCACTACTGTGTATGGTGTAGACCAGGGGTGAGCAACTCCGGCCCTCCAGCTGTTGTGGAACTACAAGTCCAATGAGGCATTGCAGACTGACAGGAGTCCCAGAGGCATGTTGGGAGTTGTAGTTAAAGCACAGCTACAGGGCCAGAGTTGCCCAACCCTGTTGTAGACAGAACACTTTCTAAAATGTTCATATAAATATGCATCTTGGAAATCAGAAAATATTTTTAAGCTCAGATTAAATATTTGCATACAAGTGCAACAGGTATGCATCTAATACCTTCTTGACTCTGCATATAAAATTTTTTTGTGGTATAGCTTCACTGCACAGACCGTACACACAAAACAAGTCATCATAAGGCACGCTGGCAAAGGTTATCATTCTGACAATATTTTATTGTGCATAAGGGCACTAAAATACTGGATATACTGGAATGTATTGTAAAAAAAAAAAATTAAAAATATTGTTCCCAGTATAACATAAATATAGCAAACTGACCACTTCAAACAAAAACAAGATCTGTAAAATAGAACATTTACATTATTTTACAAATGACACCTAATATGTGCAATAATAACACAGTCCTACTTACTACTCCAATAGGGGAGTGATCAGCAATGTAACAAATCCTTCAGTG